GAGAGTTTCACATACACTATTATTTCAAATATTTCATGGATAAATGTTTTCACTGAGTAGTTTTGAGAAGGTTAGTTTAATTTGAACAGACGAACTAACGTTAACCAGGGTATACCCTAAAACCGTAAAGAACCAACATAGATCTTCTGTTGCGATTTCATACTCTTTAATAGTGGACACCGGCTACCTCCATGGCGCCAAGGCATTGAACTTTATATCTTACAGAGAACATTGGGGTTTATACTAGTCCGCTGCAGATGATTCAGGTCTAATTTTCAACCGGTCTTTGCTGGCATGTATTTGTCTTGTGTACGTTACCTTGGTATGGGCATTCTTACGCATGTTTTTAAAATAGATAGATTAGGATTATTGGTGAAATCCAGGGACATTGACCTGATGAGTCTCAAATAAGACGACGTTTATATTCTGGATTTCGCTGATAGTTTTAATACATCTGTTCTTAAAAAAGAATAGCTTTATTCACAACTGTTGATGTATTTTTAAAGAAACTCTCATATGCTTGGTACTTCAGTTTCCATATACTTAAAATAAGTATATAATTTCTCCTTAGATGTTCTTTATTTTAAGTGAGTACTTCATTTTAAAAAAATGTAAATGCATATGTGTACTTTACAATCAATCCTCACCAACACTTGTTAAAATATCCCTATAATGAAAGAAAAACACCTTCATTTATCAGTACATTTCATTGAAGTATGTGAAGATTTACTTAAGGGTAAACGAGAAATACCCTTGAAAAAAATTATTTTATTTAGAGAACTAGTGAAAAGTACAATTTGTCTTTTTTTCGTATTCACATTTTGTTGTTAAGGCTCTTAAAAAAGTAAAGCGATAATATATTAAATTCTTCCTTCAATTAATAATGAGTCAATAAGAAAATTTCTCATTCTCTATTTTACTGCTGACATGAAAAACTCATGTCATATATATTTTTTAAAATGATTCCTGGAAATGAAAGAAGGCAAACATACTCAGCAATGAAACGTGTCATACAGTGAATAAATTATGAGGGCTATAAAATTAATGTACATCGATCTTAGTTAGTATATACTCAAGTCTTTAGTATTTAATGAAAATATTTGAAGAGGTAACCGGCATTTATCTGTTGAAAATACTACTACCTACTTTTATCTAAGTTGAACTACATCACTACGAAATATATTATTCAATGATAGATTAAATCGTTGAGAGAAATCAACAGAAGAAAAACTATTTTCTTTGGTTGCCAGTATCATGAGAAATCAAAGTATTTGTGAAGTGTACTCATTAAGAATCTCAACGTTGATTGTAAAGTGTCGTGAGTGAAATGACTTAAATTTAAATCGTTTCCTCTAATTTGATAATGTTTGACCATTCAAAATTTTCAAAAAATATAGGCTTCTGAAAGATTGGCAGTTAATAGAATTAATAATCTATTCTATCAGTAAACAACTTAAATAACGAAATGATAACACTGATAAGCAGTTTTGTTTAGTCACATTTAACTTTTAATTGGTCAAGCTTTCAGGTACTATTTCAAACTTGGTAACAACTGAAGTGTAATCATAAAGATAAGAGCTGAGATAAATATCGTAAATTTGAGGCGGAATAATCAGCAGGTGCTGATAGACTGATTAAAAAAGAATCACTCCAAAGTCAATAATCAAGTTTAATTTGATGTTAGGTGGTTAGAGGTAGTCAGGAGGAGATGACGGACTTCAGTTTTGTACTAGTTATCAATTGCTAGCGTACTTACAATCTTGAGGGAAGTGATGCTCCCTGTGGTACTCAAACGCTTGTCAGACATAGTTGTAGTCCAAGACGTTACTACTAAGCTTTCGGGAAATCGACGTCAAAGTATGGATGTGAGGTTTAGTTTTACAGAAATTATTTTACTACTTATTATCTTACTTAATAAAATTTAAAGAATAATCCTTATATAATCACTTGGAAATAGGCTTACCCAGTATTATTTCTAATATTAACTGAATGACGATAATTTAATAAGCAATAGAATTATGATCTTTAAAAGATGGCTGGTTGTATGCACATATACAAATAATTCGTATTAATAATATTATTGGATCTAAGTATAACTTCAGTTTTGAGTGGATTGGTTTATCGATAACACCGTTTACTATTTACATGAGTCATATTGGTAACTGTAATCATCATGACGAGTAATGATATATATATATATATATATATATATATGTTCCCATTTATATTGTGATTGCTGTTCTCAAGGAATATTTGTAACTGATTTCTCATAAATTATTTCGACAATTCTTCTGTCAATTTAGAATGTATGGATGATTGATTGTTGATAATTTTCATCAAACAAAAAACTTCGCCCACCTAAAGATGAGGAATCAATTACTAAGAATGGTTTCTTTATACACATTTGATCATGATAAGTCAACTGTTTGCACTCATCATGAACGGTAAATCGAAATGTCTTTAACAATAGTGATTCTAGGTAGACTCGTATACATAAAAGTATCATCATTGAAATTAATTTTAGGCTTTTATACACTATATTCAATATTATTTAACGTAAATTTAACTAGTTTTATGTGAGAGGTCTAAGAAAGTTGATTCTTTACAGATTAACATCAATTGAGGTATCATTGAAAATTAAAGAACAATAAACAGCTATTTCGTTAAAGTACGGAACTTGGGTGCTCACTGTTGAATAGTCTCATACTTAAGCAAGACAGCTTTCCAATATTCCCTGGTTTTCAGTGATATCCTGAGGTAAATTGTGAACAATACAACCTTTAAAATAAATCTAATTAGCTAACCAAGTTATTTTTTTAAAAAATGATACAATTATAAGAAACTTTTATCATTTGTTGTATTTTTAACTCTGCTGATGATTATTTTGTTTTAAGATGAAAAGGTGTTCATTAAAGGATTAAAAGAAAGTATATGTTCCATATAAAGGGTAAACTTATCACAAATATATATACACAAAAAAATAGTAAGTTATAATTACTACTTGTGATGAATATATTTAGTCTTCAAAAAAAAAACAAAAAAAATTCTTATCTTTTAATTGCTTTCTGTATGTATATATATCCTGATCAGTGGGAAGGTACGTACCATTACATTTACTTCCCCCTTTTCTTAAAAAAGGGGGTGAAACCTACGATTAGTAAAAACAATAAACACATAGATAAACAAACAATTGATCAAAATTTGAGAAATATATTATATTATTATTATTATTATTATTATCAGTTAACTCGTGTTATTATGCCATTCATACTAGTCATCATGACCATAATGAAGATATTAAGAGACACGATACATTCATGTTAACATACATATATAATGAAATTAATAGTATCAAATTCAGTAATTATGATAAGTATGTACTAATATTCGTTCGAAATAAAGTAAACTGAAGAAAACAAAGATAAATGCATTTGCACACTGTGACAAAGAAAAAAAAGAAATGTACGTATATGTTTACTGTATAATTTCTAATCATTCCATCATTCTATACACAAAATAAACATCAAAAATATTAATTGTGTAACATTATTACTATTATTTATTGCTTGTCTGTATTATTATAATCAAAGGAAAAACACTTCATCCTATAATAAATAATCTCTAATCTATTTGAATAAATAGAGTTGATTAAATAAATTATACAAACTAAAATATTTCTACCTAATAACGATAACAGTGAAAATATCATCATAACTTATTAATTAATTAAAATGGATAAGAAGTAATTATTGTTTAATAATAATAATTATTATTATTATTACTAAGAATGATTATTATGATTATTCAGTAGGATGAACTGTCGGATGTGATGCTTCATAGGAGGAGACTTTCAGATGATCAGTAGATAAGTCGTTTAATATAACAGTCTATTTTTAAATCTACACGTCATGTGTTTTATAACTCCTCAAACATTTTCTCTCTAACAAATTATCTACTCACTTTTTTTCGTAAGAAGTCGAAAACCTCATTATCATACTAAGTAATAAAGAATCCAAGCGAATATTCACTTGAGATTAAGGATATCTTTTATTCTTGTTCATAATCAGACAAATACTATTTAAGTACACTACATCATATACATACAAAACATCAAAAGGGGTTTTGTGGAGATTTTGGCAATTTCAATAGTTGAAATCATGGGTCAAATGAAGCTAGAACACCATGGAAAACCTGGAAGCACAGGACGGCTGTTTCGTTCTGGTGTGGGACTCATTAGTAGGGCGCATTCACAATCCTGCTCCCAGCGAGCTACGGACCCAGGACCTGTCAGTGGACTGGTTGAAGTTAGACATTAACACCGCTGGATACAGGCTCAGTGACCTAATGGTTAAGCGCTTGCGCGCGAGACTGATAGGTCCTGGGTTCGAATCTCGCTGGGAGCTGGATCATGGATGCGCACTGCTGAGGAGCCCCACACTAGGATGAAACGATTGAATTTACTATAATATACACAAAACCCCCTCTGATACAAATACTAACTAGTATATTGAAAATAACTTCATGAATCATAATCACTTTTGTTAGTGAACACAATATTGTTATCATGTTAACGTTCAATACTATCATTCTTGTTTTTAATTGTTTTCAAATGTGATCATTTCAATGTTAATCGATTGAGAAATAGTTGTATTGTCAGGTAGTAATTTTATTTTTAATAGAAAAAAAATTAATAAACCACATTATTTCATAACTCTATATCAGTTTCTTGTTAACAAATTAATTTACTTTAATTAAATCTAATTACTGACATTATACATAACCAATGTTCAGTCACTAAGTAGAAATACACTTTATTGATTTTCATATGCATATTTGTATGTTGCAATCAATTGTGTGTCAGATAGTTACACAAATAAATTAGTCATGTTTAAATTATATATATAGCATGAAAGCAGGTACCTATCAACTAACTTTGGTTGTACACAATACACATTAATTTATCTGTTGGAAGTAATGGATAAACTTAATTTTAGTTTCATATGATTGAAGATATGAGAAGACGTACATGTAAGAGGTAATTATATATATGAATTTCGGGTCATTATTCACTAAGTTTAGTTAATTTTATTCATGAAAATTTACACTTTGTTTCTAACTCACGATTCTCACTCAGAATACAGATAGATTAAAATCTCCATATATGTTAAGAAATTCCATTACTAATTTATGTTGAAATCACTAACTTACTGCTTATGCTTATTAATATTGTAATATTGTTTAGTTACATGCATGAATCATGTAATCTCTTCTTTATAATCCTACTAAGACAACGGATTAATATCCTCTGATATCATCAAATTGAAATTAAACTATGATCTATGAAGAACGGATAGACACAAAGCCGTTATTTCGTTCTTCATAAATATTGTCGTTGTCACGGAATTTGAAGGGCTAGGCAGCATAATTCTGTATTGGATTGTATCATTGGATTGTTTTCATTCTTAGGCAGAAGTTAATACAATCAACAGAGTTTCAAAGATATAACAGTGACACATTATCTTAGGTTATGCTATTAATCTTGAAAAAATTGTGATCTGTATGTTTCACAAAGTAGTAAACATGAGGAGAAAGTAAATGAGATTATGAATTTTTCTATTTGAGATAAAATCTCGATACCTCTTATTGACTTATTGGCTGAATAAATTATTTTCTCAAGGTTTATACCAATAAGTCACTTGACAGTAATTCAAAATGATTCAACATTTAAAATGCTAATAACTGGAAATTTACTGAACAATTTAAAGTGTAATATAGTTGTTAGAATAAAATATGGATTCTAGCTCCCACTGTGATGATTCATATATATGTCTACTTTTACGCTACTCTGAATCTTAAAAGGAATAATTATGTAGTCAGGTTCACACGACATTACTGGTGATATTTCTTGCGATTTACTCTACATTCTAGTGGTATTGTGAACAAGGACAATGTATCTAGGTTAATTTATATCAATCATGAAATTTCTGATTACTTATTTTCATTCTGATTAAGATATCACTTATTGCCTCTTCGGAATTTACTTTCGACTATATACTGTGAGTATTGAATAACGAAATGCTGGAAAAAGTGTGACTCATATTATTGGAGCCAGTATATTTCTTTTGTATTGTAATTGGGTCTGTTTTTGTTGTAATTGAGGACTTCTAATTAGTGAGTGTCCACAAAAATTGGTTTTCAGTCATTTCCCAGTAAGTGTCAGGCCTCAATGGGAAATTGTCTTTCTGTAAGCCGACAAACTAAATGCTAATTATATGGACATTAGTTACTAGCTATGAGAGAAATTTCCAGAAATTGTATTTGAAGGACATAATCAGTGGAGTAAAACCTGTCAAAACTTTAACAGTAGATTACTGCTCAGTCACTGCATAGTACCATGGACATCTTAAAGCTAAAAATCACCTTGATTGATCACATGTTAATGATAGGTGGATACAGGTGAGAACTCTCATTGTAAAGCTTTCTACGCTTTCTCAGATAAAGTTGGTTTGTTATGAAAAAAATTTGCAAATTCTACAGATTTCCTTACAAGGTCATCAATCGTAATAATATTAATTAATCAATTAGTACCAGACACATTAGAATATTACATTTAGTTTCACTGATGTAAATAGCATAAAAAATGCCGGTGCCTAGTAGACTTGAAGGAATCTTGAAAATTGAATGTATATTTCAAGAGTTAAGGTTAATAATAAATACCTGACTGTTCTGAGAATTCTATATTGTGCCAAAAATGTAACAATGAATGAAGCCATCATCATCAGTAATAATAATAATAATAATAATACAACTGTTTGGTTACTTGAGTGAGTGTTTTTTATATACAACGATATGGTCAACATTTTACGTTACGATTAATGAATAATAGTTCTAGTTCTTGCGTGATCTGCTTTAAAAATGCTTTTAGGATTTGTAAATATTCTTACCCTGAATATGTGTACAATCTTTCGTTAAACCATACATAAATATAGTCATAAACATTTTTTCAATCACCAACAACACAGCAAGCTGTGTATTGGATTTTAAAGCATTTAGTCCCTTTTATAAATTTCGATAATGTAATAAGAAGACGAAGATTATCAGAACCACATAGTTTTGTTAATCTTCATCTTCTTATTGGATTCTAATTAAATTTCAGTTTATCTGTTTTGAAAGTCACAATATTAGAATAAACGATTGAGTTTCATCTTGGATTCTCTCCACTTTTTTATTAAGTCGATGGTGATTACTTCAGTTGGTATCCTAATGAGTTTTACCGTTTATTCTAAGGCTCTTATTCAGTACTTCAATAGTCAGTTACTTGTGTAATAATTATCAGTTACATTCATATTTTGCTTTAATTTGGAATTTCTTCAATACCACACTCTATTACTCTCTTTCTCGACTTTTTGCAATTAAAAACTCAGATCCCTCAGTTTTTGATGAGTATGTCAAAACTAATTTAGGGCATAGTGTTTGTCAATTTTATTTAATGTGATATAGTATTCTTTTGAGAATTTGCGTACACGTTATTATATCATTGTTGTCAGATAACAGTGTCATTATTAGCATAATCATAGTACGTTTAAATATCATATGAAAATACTGTTAACAAAATAGAAAGTCTAGCAACCAATCTAGAAACAATTCTTATGTGTATATACTAACTCACAACTGACTGGTAACTGTTATCCTATCATATAGTCATTAGAACTGATTAAACTCTATCCTTCAAGCTAGTAGTATGACCACCGTGCTAGGTGACATTATAGCCCATTTTCGCCTAGTTTTGCCGACTCGAATTCCTTATGAAGCACTGGTTTTTTGGATTTCAGATACACTCCACCGATAGATTCTATCCACCAAGATACCCGTGTTCATGGTTCGTGACTAAAGTACTAGACTTTCAACTACCAGATCATTGGTTCGGACCCCGAATCTTCTATTTAAGTTACGGTAACCAACTAGTATCACATATTTTTACGTGACGTGTGTAACTCAAGGTTGAAGACATAAACCTATTCTTAGTAAATAAATTACAGTACCATTATTTTATCTCTAGATTATTCTTATGATTGTCTACAACCCCTTAATTTATTATTTATAAACATAGATTAATTTTATCATTACGATAGACATTACTCGTAAATTAGATTTAACAAAGGGTGTTTTTACGAAATCCTATTCAGATAAAGACACTGATAATCTTAATTATTTAATAATTACATTTTTTCATGTACTTCTCTTATGTATGGTTAATACTAGAGGTTGCTTATTTTATAAGTGAATTCAATATGAATAAGATGCCTAATAGTTGTTGACAGATTTTATTAATAATTTTGTACTATTGTATAGATTGATTTAATAAATTAATATGTCAAGTATACACCACTATGATCAAGTCTCTAATACATAGTATTCATATATTAGTTATTTCAATTCTCCCTTATAATCCTATACATTAACAATAGTGGTAAAATTTCCGTATTTTATCAAATAAATAAGTTATCTATGAAAAAAGAAACAGACTACTGGTTGTACTTTTCATCATACATAGATGATGAGTGGAATAAAGCTTTAACAACAGTAAACAGATTCAATTTTCATTTCCATTCTTTATGTTTGCTTGTTGTTGTTTTTTTGTGAAATTTATTTCGACTTGTTCTGATCAACAACAAAACACGTGGTTCCCGTATATATATATATTTACCAAACAGTTTCATCTATGGATAAGGGTTTAAAATATATGTGGTTTTATATATTTTACTAGTAGTCTAAGAGATAAGGGATATTTTTATACGTACTATATATGTACATGTGTGAATGAAAATATGAATGGGAGTAATTTCCTTTTAACCATCTGGGTTATATGAAGTTTTGCATTATATGATGATTTCTTATTATATTGCTCAAGATTGTTAGATACATTGTTTGACTTCATTCATTCATTCATCAATTTAATATTTCTTAACCTGTCCCTCACTGTAAAAGTTCAAAAAAACACAATAGTTTTAATAAAATGTATTTCTATTTTATTTCTTGGGATAAAACCAGATTTTTCTTAACTTATTTATCACTGTGTACATTATTATTATTATTATTATTATTATTATTGTTATTATTAACAGTCATTTAAATTAAAGTTGACATTTACGTACTTTAGTCGATTCAAGCTAATCTATTTGAATGGTGTGCTGTTTTTCTGAATTTAGATGTATCTGTGTATGTACGTTGACAGATTTAACAGCTTGTTTGAGAGAGGGAGGGAAAATATGAGAGAGCTAACTAAACTGAGTATAAAAGAATAAAATGTGGGTTTTCAAGGGAGAAGTACATTAGTAATGAAAGTATCTGTGGGAGCAGTTAAACAGGTGCATAAATCTTAATGAAATTTCGTCAACATTGGTTTGTTTTATCTTCGGTTGTATTTTTTTTTATTAATCATAATAAAAACATATAATGTATAGAATGACTAAATGTACTGATAAATATACATTATTTTTAATATTTTTAGTAGAATAGATCAAACTATTGATAATATTTTATGCCCCATGTTCATATTATAGTAACTATGATGAGAATATCTCATGAGATAATAATCGGTTGACAAAAGTCCAATCTAATGGATAATTGTAAAAAAAATTCTGGTTACTCTAATGGTCTAACAAATGAAATGCTCGTAAAAAATTGTAATGATCTCAAATTATATTATAAAGCTGTTAAGAAATAAGTAATGTTTAGTGACGGAATTATTTCCCAGAAAAGTTACATTCCGCTACCTTTTTTACTTTCAAGATAAACTACTACATTGTTTCCCTTCATTATACTAATTTACAATATCATAAATTAGTATCCAACTTAATCTTTTTAATCCTTTAGTTTTTAAGTTAATCAGTTTTACTATAGATTTATAGGAAGGTTAACGCTTTATTTTAAAAAGTGATGAATTTATGGCTGAATATTGATTAGGAACTGTAAGCTAATTGTCAGCAAAGCATTCTATAGGTGTATTTAATGCCTTGAAAAACTTGAGTAGTC